TCCCAAGATGTTAAGGAGTCAGGGACCAGGAAATAGTTAGGACCACAGACATGAGGCACTGAAATGATTGGATCTAATGCAGCAGGCAGAACAGGAGATGGTGTGCTGTCTCATTTGCTGTGAATTGGAACTATGATAACATGAAAGTACTAAGTAAAAACAGTTTTAAAGTCTTATTTTCTAGCCAAAAAAATAAATTTATTCAGAATCACATAATTTTAAACTAGAAGAGTGAATTGAAACTTTATGATATTATCTCATTACTTACATGATAACGAGGTAGTTACCATCCTATTTTTGTGAGCTATGCTGTTGGTTACATGCTTTGAAAATTCTGAGAGATTTAATAGCTATTCTGTTGTAGTTTTGTCATTACTATATATCATGTATCATTATCAGTGTTTCCCAAACTTTTGACATATGTGTACCCCTTCTATAATTTTCATAGCGCTGAGTACCCCTCATATTCATGAGAACATAGAATTAGATGCAGCTAAGCACGGTGCAGTGCATATCCCCACCAAACTCCAGTGCAACTCATACCCCCACCAAACTCTTCCCGTACCCCTGGGGGTACAAGTACCACACTTTGGGAAACACTGAGAGAGAAAGATTCAAATTGACCACACCTTTATGATGCCCACCATCCAATCAGGAGTGAGTATGCAAATTAAACCAACAAAGATGGTGGGTTAATTTTCAAATACAGGCACAGATGGCTGGAGCGGGCTGCCATGGCAATTACACAGGGGTTCCTAATTGCCCCAGCCACTCTGGGCCTCTGGATAGCATGGGAAGGTGGAAAGGTGACTCTGCCAGAGTGAAGGCGATGCTGGCAGCCAGGGAAGGAAGGCCCATTCTTGCACGAATCTTAATTCATCGGGCCTCTAGTATACTCTAACTTAAAATATTCCCCATATAATGTCATCGAAGTGCCAATAAATGAAATGCTGTTCTCATGCTGAAAATGCATCTGATGATCAATAACTTTAACAAGAAGTTAAATATGAGTCACTCTGTGAGAAAAAAAAAACTAAACAATGTGGCCATGTTTCAGTTTAGGAAAGGGAACTCTGAGCAGAAAAACAGCACTAAAACAAAAACGTGCTTCAAAGACTATCTGCATATATATAAAAGGCTAATATGCTAAGTGTCCATCTTACTGATAGCTATGACATGCCCTGACCACCAGGGAGCAGACACTCAGCGCAGGTGCTGCTGAGCTGCAGTGATGTGGCAGCGACAGTTCTTGGGTGACACACCCCAAAACCAGAGAGGAGGGAGCCCGATTCTTTGCGGGCCGTGCTATTCCACCTTTGGCTGTGGATTATGTTGTTGCTGGGGCGCTCCTAAATCTGGTTTACTGCACACTTGTGTTTGCGTTCCACACCCTGTACGGCAGTAACTTTGCAGAGTGCCCGCTAGTACTCTGGGACCTCTCCATGGATGTCTGAGAGCTAGTTTTGTCCCAATCCCCGCAGGCCAGGCCGAGGGACCCACCTGCCAGAGGGACCCCGCTCTGCAGATGCCCTTTGAGCCATGGTGCCACCCAGGTTCGGCCCGCTGGGGAGGGACTGGGGGAGATATCTTCAGGGCGTGTCTGGCCCCGTCTTGCCCAGTCCTGCCCCACTGGCCCTCTTCTAATTAATTTCCTTTCAAGGTGCACGAATCTGTGCACCAGGTCACTAGTAGATTTATATACGCTGGGACTATAGCTCCTGTACTTCACCTTACCTTGTTCCTTCAAGAAAAGTATAAACATTTTGATTTTTTGAAGTTCTTAAGGAACAAGTTTTTTCCATAAAATAAAATTGCTCAGTATAAATGGAACATTACTAATGTTAGAATTGGGAAATAAATCACAAGCTGAAACTGAAAAAAACAAAAAAACAAAAAAAAAACTACAAATTGTTGTAAGTTCTAAGAAGGAAAAGGTTTGGGTTAATGAGATCAGAACAAAGAAAGAACATAGGAGTTTAGATGGAAGAGTCATAAAAAAAGGTTTAGCTGAGAAAGCAAGATTTGTGCTGAGACCTGGTTTGTCAGGTAGAGGGAGAAAGGCACTCTGTACAGATGCCTCAAGAGGAAAAAGCATGGTGTACTTCAGAAGCTAATGTCTGCCAAAAGGTGAGGAGGTGCAGGTGCTACAGGGCTCTGTAACTCATGGCAAGTAGCAAGGAGTGGTCCGGCCCAGGGATAAAGGCTGAGGGTTCAGATTCTGGCTCTGCTAGGCGTGTGAGGTGAACTAAATCACTTGCCTCTGTTTCAACTTGTCATCAGTAAAAAAAAAAAATAATTAAAAAAATAATTTTTAACTCACTAAACCTCATACTTATGAGGTTTAGTGAGTTAAAATACTAATTGTTTTCATTTATAGAGATTTATCCTACTGTAATATGATGCTATTGCAGGATTTTAAGTGGCATTATCTAATTTGTCTTTTACACGCTTACTCCAGCAACTGCTTCTATCTATGAAAGTCTGGATGGGAATTTAAAGATTTCCAAGGAATTTTGAGTGATGAGTAGCTTTTTGAGCATTAAAAACACAGGTTCATCTGAAAGCAAAATCAGGTATAAATTTGCCCAAAGGGGGGGAAAAAAGATTAAATGATAGAAGAGTAGGAGGGGGTGAATAATTAGGGAAGTAAGTTGGGACACCATCATCCTAATGATGAGATTTTGAAAACTGAATTATGGATTCTTACTATTCAGTTGGTTAGAGTATATTGAATAATGATTTAGATACCATACACAAATGCAGAATTCCCTAAGACAGCCCACTGTGAGCTCTAAGTGAGATCATGTATGTAATATTAAAATATAAAGGGATGGAGTAGGCTAAGATTTTTTAAATAGGACACAAGAAGCACTGCCAGTAAAGAAACAATTATAAATTGGACTTCAGTAAGTTAAGAATTTACATTCATCGAAAGACAACATTAAGAGAATGAAATAGCATTGCAGCCCTACTATCGATAGAACGGCTGGAGGTAAAAGGACTGCAATCACACTTGCTAAGGGAGCATGTTTGAACAACCGGAACTTTCACTTCTCCGAGAAGAGTGCAAATTGCTACGACCACTTTGGGAAACTGTGTGTAGCATCTACTAAACATAAACGTACCTACACACCCTATGGATACATTCTTTTCCAGAAATGAGTACCGATACCAGTTATATCTCAATAAAGCAATTCACAGCAGTAAAAAATAAACTACATTCAACTAAAGAGGAATCCCATAAAACCTGTGTTAGGCAAAATAAAAATAAAAATAAATAAAAAAGACAGACAGAAAGTTCAGAAACAGGCAATCCTAATGTTACCAGAGGTTGGACTGGTGATTACATTGGGGGAGGGCACTGTGCTGGGAGGGAGCACTGGGAGCCAGCCTTCTGTGTTTTGTTCTGTGTTTTGTTCTTTACATTTTGTCAAGCCGAATACTTTAAGTTTGTACACTTTGTGTAATTTAAAATATAATTTACAATTAAAATGTAAGTGACAATGTTTTAAACGTTAAAAAACGTAAACAGGTTTTGTCTTTTTAAAGGTTTCTGTTTTGTTTGTTTTTAGTTTCTATCTTGGGTCTTTCTAATTGACAAAGTCGGTGGGCTGCCGGAAATTGGAGCTGGGACAGGAAGGATGCAGACAGTGTGAAAGGGCATAGAACAGGAGACTGTTGTCTTCAGACATGTGGGATGATAGAGCTGAGAAGAAATGAAATAAGAGAGAAATAAGGTGAAATCTAGAAAGATCGTGTTTTACACTCACCATTCTTATTTTATATGTAGTTATCAGTTGACCACAGTTTAGCAGCAATCTTTCCTCCTAAGAACTAATTTGAATCCTGAAGTGATTTCTTTTTTATGCTAACTGTCCCTGTTTCAAGTCCTTCTGACACCTTCTCCAAACCAAGCATGCTGGAAAGGCTTATAGGTTACTTAAACAAATGAAGAAGTTTGTAATTACTTTAGTTTTAACAGTTTTCATATGAGATATTCGGCCAGTGCCGAAAGTTCCCTGACTAGCTTTTTGCAGCTGCAAGAATTATATTACTTTCTTTCACATTATCAACCTGTAATATATAGTTAGGTTGTTTTACTTTAAGTCTCCCATTGACATTTCTTTTATATGCATATAATGAAATGATTTTATTTCATAAAAAAGAACATCTCCTGTGTGGATTTTAAATTTTCCTTATTAAATATTTATATTTTCAAAATGTCCTTATTTAATTGAGTGAGGTGCTTGGTGCCATTTCAAAATAACCTCAGGTGGTAGGTGTAATGACATATCAAAAATTTGACCTTTAGCATTTTAGGATTCTATTTTTGTCTGCATTTTCTTCTGCATTCAGTCTTAATTTATATGCTATTTCTCTGTAACTTAATGAATGGATAAACTTGGCATAAGATTCATTAATGAAAAGAAAATATTGGAATACATATTATTTCTGTGCAGTCTAATGATTTTTACTTCATTCATATCTCAACTATGACAAGTAGAAAATTCTTTTTGTGAGGCTGGTTGGTATTTGTATAAACCTCATTCATTCTCAGTTAATGCTCAGCCCAATAGACCCTGGATCTACTAAACTGATGATGCCCACTCTGACTTCTCTCACTTATTTGCAGTCAGATTATTATGCTTTTTTATTAACCTAGAGATTCTTTTTTTTTAATTTTCTGCTTTTCCTTTTAAAGAAAATTGAATGTAATATTTATAGAGATATAATTCAATTAACATCTTGCAGCATCTTTTTGTATGCCTTGGTAGCATAGATAATTATTTGTCTGGGTAGCTTTCAGCCTAGATGTGGAGAAATGAAATAATTATCATATATAATATTCTGATATAAAAATTGTTTTCACTTACTCCTCTAAGTATGTTTTTATTGATTTTTAGAAATGTACATTTCTAACTATGGATACTTTTAGATGTTTTTTGGGCAGTCAGCCTACATATTTATGTTTAAATTGTTTATTCTTGTATTTTTCTCAGTTTACACAAATCTTTATCCCAAGAAGAAAATCTGAAGGATCAGTTTAACCATACCCTTACTACCTATGAAGAAGCTTTGAAGAATAGAGAGAACATTGTTTCCATCACTCAGCAACAGAACGAGGAGCTGGCTGCCCAACTGCAGCAAGCCCTGGCAGACCGCGCGAGCCTGGAATCGGAGCTCCGGCTGGCCATGGAGGCCTCCCAGGCAGCCCAGGACAAGGTGCAGAAGTGAGTAAAATGAGCTTGCACCATGTCAAAAGCATGAAACAAAACAAAAACACCCCTTTTTAGCAACTAATAGTATATTATTTATTACTCATCCTACTAATAATTTAAGACAAAAGTTTATTGAGCCAAGTAAACTCTTTTTGACTCTCTATCATATCCATATTTGGGATAAAAAACCATTTACTTGGGAATCCTGGTTACTGTTTAGGGCAAAACATTTTTATTTGATATCTGATCTTCTTTAGTTCATGGAGGCCATATTATTAGAATCATTTCATAGGTGATAAAGTTATTAGCAAGGGGAAGAGGCAGTCAAATTTTCAACTTTAGCTTCAAGTTAATCCTGCTTGAATCCAGATCATCTGTGACCTAGTAATCTGAGACCTCTAGTCACATAGAATAGGGTACAGTGTGATTAATTTTCAATATTGTTCTTCTGAGAAGTATTCAGTACAGCTTTTCACAGTGCATAATTGTATTTGTTTATTTTCAATGATCTTTGCATTTTTATTAAAATTTAAATAAAGCTGTATAATAAGTCAGTCCTTATGATAGCCAGCAAAATGTTAATAAATAATTTACCAGACAAGGAAGTCACTTACCAATCTATGGGACTTGAACATTGTAGCAGTTTCCTAAGATAGCTTTAATGTAATGGAACTTGTCATTTTAACTGAGCCCTTCTTTATGGATTGTTAGCAGCATTACATTATTCACATACCTAATCACCTTTAATTTCTAATACATACATTTTTCCTTAGCAACTTTTTTTTTAATTTCACAGTATGAAGAATTAATGCTAATTTCAAAGTTTTTATTTCTCAGCACTTTTTATTTGAAAATAAGTCATCTCAACCATTTCCCCAACACTCCTGAAATTATGCTTTATAGCCCAAGGTCAGGTAAATTTGTAGTCAAGGCCACTTGAAAACAGATTAGGAATTATACATATTAATCTGTGATATCAATGTGCCTTAAACTTGTGATTTATGGTATCCTGTTTGTTTTTTTTATAGATTTAAAGATTAGGTTTATATTCAGCCAGAAACTGTACCAGTTATTCACAATATATGATAGCATTCTAAGAATACCAAGATATATAGGTAGATCTTACTTCATTGAAAATATAAATCAGTAACTTTTGACAGGGCCTGATTTAACTCTGTTTGTTTAAAGTCTACAAATAATTACAAATTTCAAGTGTAATTATTTTTACATCTTTATGTAATTCTTTATATGTAATCCTTTAATTTCTATAGATAGCTAAAATTCCCTACAAGTGTTTCCCAGAGAACAATTAGATTTATATTTTTAAAAAATCTTTGGAAATGTTATCAGACTAACCTTTTACTTTTTTTGATCTCATCAACTATTATAATTTTTTAAAGAAATAACTTTGTACAACAAGAAGTAGAAATAACATTATCTCAGATAATACTTTAAATTGAGTAAGTTTAATCTTTTGAAAATGTATTGCCCTTATTCCTCACATTTAGCTACAATAGATTAAAAATTTTTAGGGGAATGGTGTCAATTCATTAACAGAGTTTAAGTGCAACAGCTATGTCATTTATAAGAATTAAATGTTAAATTCTCATTTAAATTCTTAATCTTTTATTTCGATTTTCAGCAATAAGACCTAGATGAAATTTTGTCAGGTTTTCCTTTTAATATTCAATCCATTTTATTTCACTTTTAATTACCCTCAATTGGGTAGTGTATCTTCCCTGCAGTTAATGTGCACATCAGTCTATTTTATTAGATTTAAGAGGATAACCTTCCAGGAAACCAATTTATATGAGTTTGTTAGATGGTATTAGTATTCTTTATCCAATCTTAAATTTTTATTATTAAAAATTATTTATGAAGGTTCTTTGTAAACACTGAGTATTCCAGACAATAATTACAATGTAAGCTAAGATGTTCATGTTTCCACCTTCTCCCATCAAAACCAAATTTCTTGAATAACTGATTATATTCACTACCCTCAATTTTTCAATTCCCACTTACTCCTTGCTACTCAATGCATGATGGCTAGTTCCTCCACTGGGAATTGTTGTTCTTAAGATTACTAGTAGTTTCCTAACTGTTAAATGCAATGGGCCATTTCTAGTTGTATTTTTATTATAAAACTAATATGTGATCATGGTAAAAAAAAAAAAAAAAAGGTGGTCATATATCTTCAGCAATATCACATAGTGGTTTAAAAGCTCAGGCTCTGATTCATTATGCATAGGTATGTGAATTTTTACATTTTATTTTAAAACACTATTCTGATGTGGGCATTAATAGCCCCGCCTCATAATAAATGGTGATAAGTGGAGATTTGACTTTGGATGTGAACACACTACAGATGATGCGTGTGGAATTGTGCATCTGAAACCTGTAAAATTTTGTTAACGAGTACACCACAATAAATTCAATCAAAAGGAAATGTAATAATAATTATGAAATGAGAAAAAAAATAGATAACATGATGCCTGTAGTGCTTTCAGAATAACACTTGTTACTCTCCTTCTCTTCCCATTTTACTCCACACTGAACTCTCTCCTTCTGCAGAGGGCTCTGCCTTCTCAAGACTGAGTGCCTTTGTGTATGTTGGTTCCTCTGCTTGGAGCCTTTTGCTCTCCCTCCCCCCCCGCCCCCCCCGAGAAACTTATTCATTCTGTGAGATTCAGTGCAACATAGAGGATAGTGACAGGCTTTGCAATCTAGTCAGACAGACCTGCCTTTGAATTCCTGTTTTTTCTACTTATTTCCTGGGAGATTGGGGGCAAGGGACAAGTTACTTAACCCTAGAAGCAAAAGTTCCTCAGTTAGAAGATTCAGACAGTAATACTGGCCTCACAGGCAGGATTAATGTGAGGAATAAACTGGAGAGCATATAAAATGCCTAGTTCAACACCAGTTATTTTATGATAAACACTAGGGGCCAGTGCATGAATTCATGCATCTTGAAAGGAACTGTGCGTCACAAGGCTGCGGTGGGCACAGGGGCAGGTCTCGGCCCATCCTCCACGCCTCCGCTAAGCCCCTCTTGCAGCTGCCCCTGGTCTCTTATCTGCTGGCAGCCCCACTTCTGCCACCACTGCCCCCACACGCCGATGGTGCCGGCCCCACTCACATCCGCTAATGGTACAGAGCAATAGGGGACGGTGCCAGCAGCGTGTGAGAGTGGGGCCATAGCAGGTGAGAGTAGCATCTGCTGCCCCAATCGCCCATCAGGAGCAGGGGGAGGTGGAGAAGCCTTCAGTGCTATCCCTGCTTACACCTGCTGATGGCACCAAGTGATCGGGACCTGCCTGGCACCAGCAGTAGGTAGGAGCAGGGATAGCACTGGCAGCAAGTGTGAGCACCAGGCGGGATGGTGGCACGTGGGAGCAAAGAATTTTCAGTAACCACCAGAGGCTCACCCTGATGACAGCGACTGGTGTCCTGACTTGGTCTGGTGCGCCCACTCACTTGCTCCACCATTCCGCCAGAGCCAACACCTACCATGTTCTGCACACGGCCCCTGGTGGTCAGTGCACATCATAGCAACCAGATGTTCAGTTGTTTGGTTGTTCCAATTGTTCCACCATTCAGTCTATTTGCATTTTAGCCTTTTATTATATAGGCTTCTGTCAGCTATATTATTAGTATCATCATATTCATCAAACTAGCAAAGCTAGTTTAGTTTCTTCTTCTCTACAAAGTCACTTTCTTCTGTGTGCTTTCCTAGTATTTTTGTTGAAAATTACTCCTTAGAAAATCCAGCCCCCTCTTGCATTTCCCGCCTCAGGTAACAGTTTTCAGCAATTTCAGCTCCATCCTTATTCCCTCCCTCTTTCTTACCATTTGCATTCATTTTGCCATCAATCTCTGTTTTGACTTTTTTTTTTTTCTTTCTAAGCTCTGTTTTGTCTATTGCTTAAGCATCTCCTGATTCCCTTCACCCCATCCTCACACATTAATTGCATTAATTTAGGTCCTCATCATCACTCATCCAGACTATCATAAAACTAGTTTACCTGCTTGTAATTCTCTCAAGTTTATCTTCCTCACTGCCACCAGACTTGATTTTTCTAAAACATACGCCAGGTTATATTACTTTCTCATTTAAAACTAGAGGCCGGATGCATGAAATTAGTGCAGCAGTAGGTCTTCCTTCTCCTGGCTGCCAGCACTGGCTTCCCTCCGGCACCTGGGACCCAGGTTACCCGCTGGCCACCCGCAGGCACCCAGGACCCGGGCTTCCCTTGCAGCCTTGGCTTCATCCAGAAGGTCATCTGGAAAGATGTCTGGTCTAATTAGCATATTATGCTTTTGTTGTTATAGATTTTCAAGGGCTCTTTCTCCCCTACAAGTTAAAGTATAAACAACCTAGCATGACACATGGGGCCTATCAGTAGCCTTCTTCCATTTGTCTAGAATAATTTCCTCTCATGATCACTACCACAGTATCTCTGCATGTGCTATTTTTTCTTCTTAGAACATATCTCCTACTTTTCGTACCTAGCCAAGTTTTTGTTACTTATTAAAGTCCAATCTAAATGTTACCCCTAAAAATGTTTCTTTAGATTTTCATTCTTTCTTGTGGTCATAGTACTTAATCCATATCTCTATTCAAGGTCTTAGTCATCTATGTGTAATAATCATTTTGTATATCTATTTCCTCTCTGTTTCACTCTTTGCAAATTTATCCATTGGTGAGCATTCCCAAGACATGGATAATGTCCTATTAATATTTTTATTCTAATCTCCTTCAAATACTCACACAGATGCCTGCTGTAAAGTAAGCACTTATAAACAAATGAACTAGAATAATTTAATAGTGTGCTAGAATGATGGAGCAAAGTAAAAGCAGGTTGGGTAAGGAATACATATGAAAACTTCAGATATAGTATGATCTGCTTTAAGCCCTAGATTAAATTATTTTATTCCAACCCAATACCCGATTTCAATGAGCTTACCAACTTCACTGAAAACTATGACCCTTTGTGTCCGCCTCCTGCCCTCAC